TAAAGTCGCAGGCTGGGAAAGTTGAGGCCCACTCCGTAAGTTACAAATGTCTGCCAGTAGAAGAGATGTGTGACAGCAGTGCTCATGTTACTGAGACGTCCGTCTGTACACCTGCAGTTACACGCTCACTGAATGCCTTTGAACCGGGTGAGTCTGTGTGTTACATGAAATGTGCTGTCGGGCATCTCTGACAGGCAAGTGCCGGTATTCTGCGAGCACTGCAGTGGGCTGTTCCGAATGCCGTGGTTGTTTTCCGTTCTTAAGCAGAGTTGTCTCACGGCTGAGATGGGACCCACGGGTGGTCTTGTCCCAAAGAGCCAGCCTTCGGATTCTGTTTGCGCGCCTTCGCATCTCATAGCCGTGTGCCTCAGCACACCACGTTTGCGTGCTTCATTCTAAATGAGCATCGCGTGTTATTTCACAGATGAGGGTGTGGCTTGCTGCTAACGAGGATCACACGTTTAGCATCCTCACTCTGTTCTTTTTCCAACTCTACAGGGAAAGGGTGAATATACAATGGAATACTGTAAATATCAACCGTGCTTGCCCAGCACGCAAGAAGAAATAATTAACAAATACCTCGAAGCAACGGGGCGACTCCCTGCTAAAAAGGGCAAAGCCAAGAGCTGATTTTGACCCTCCTGGGTACCTTGAACAGTTTTTCGCAGTCTTCCCTAAAGGCTCAGTTGCCCGAGGGAGAGAAACAATCAAGGCTGGCCACAGTGGGACCTGGGCTTGTAATTTCATCATCATATCCTTCCTTTGTGCTACTCTCAGAAACCACCAGGAGATCACAACAGAATTGTTCCCCTGTAAATGCTGCTCACTAACAAAATACATAAATGTTAAAACACTGATGGTAATTCGTCTTGAAATTTGTCTTCATCCATTTGTATTAAAATAGTTCTTTTTACTTGATACATCATTATTTTGTAATTGGGCTAGTTACTACTGTTTCTCTGTTTTGAAAGCTTAAAGATGGTAGTTTAGGAGACTAAACCAGCTGCTGACTGCTGGACAGGGACGGGGCTGAGTGGCCACCCAGCGCTGAGCGGTTTTCACCTACGTGCCCCACGTGCAGATCCATTAACTCCTGTGCTGGCAGCATCCACCTGAGAGAAGGAGCATCAGTCCTACCCCCTCACCCTGCTGAAACACTCCCAGGAGCCTCCAAAGTCCTGACGAACCAGGCAGAGTCCTCTGTCGGCGCAGCTACCTTGTCACCACGTCAGCTTCTCTCCGAGGCTGCAAGGCATTTGAGAGGAGTTGGCGAGAATGTACATAGAGGTTAGCTCTTTCCAAAACTAGGAACAACCTGGATTTATTTTATGGGCTCAATTTCTTGGCACTTTGTTAGAAAACCAAACGAAAGATTGCTTTTCCCAGAATCTCACAATCAAAAGGGTGTGTTGCTGATGGTGCTCGCCTTGGGAATCGGTTGGATAGAGCTTGCTTACTCATGGAGGAGAGCTAAAACGAGGGCGTTACAGTTAGGTGAGAAAGAGAAGATTTTTTTTTTTTGTTGCGTGCTCTCTCTTCCTGACCTGCTGAGCTTCACAGCATTTCTGCAGACTGCCAGTAAACAGAATGAAGTTCCAGTTCAAAACCAGCTCTGTTCCTGGCACAGGCTGGTGGTTGATGTTCACCAGACGCGGACAGAACTGTGGTGCCTGGGCTTCTCTTCCTCCTCCTTCACAGAAAGGTGTGAAAATTAATTACCTTAACCTTGAAAAAAGTGCAGTGTCGGAGATGTGTCGGGGCGTGTAAGTGCTAACAAAACACAGGCACACTGTTGTGTCTGAGTATGGTGTTGCTTTGGGCCAAGTGCTTCTTGATTCCCTGACATTCAGAGCTTTATTTTTGTGGAAATACTCAGCTGGAGCTTGTTTCAAGAAAAGCCCTACAGGTTCTCCGACATTTGGAAATTTTCTTAAACAAGCCAATATAGTACATTTACCAAAATTCAAAGACATCTTACAAAAGCAATATGAATGCAAGAAAGAAATGGGGTGGTTATGATTTCATTTCTATTTATGGCTTTTATATTACGCTTAGTAGAGGCCAGTCATGGTCTGAATTCCTAGCCAGTAGGTACTGCCAACCGTCTGCAAATCCAGCGCGGCCGCTGAGAGCCTGGCCTCAGGCAGCACCGTGCCGGGACAGCTGAGGCACCGCTGAGGCACTGTGGGGTTTTCTGAACTTCAGCACGAGGGGGAAAATCTGATGGGGCCGGCAGGGGAGGAAGGACAGGAGCGCTAGCAAGAGCCTAATTTTGAGGCGTGCTGGATTTTGTTTGTTTATGCTTGATGGATTTTTCTTCTTTAATCAAATTTTAGACAGCGCTTGTGTTAGATCTGACTTACTGGAACTCCTCCTTGCAGCAAAGATGGAAGAGAATTATTTCTCTTCTCGTGTCTACGGGACCTCTTACAGATTGGCTCTGCACGGTTTCTTTGCTGCGAATAATTCACTGTGAAGACACCTGAGCCTCGAGTCGGATGGTGTCTGCATTGATGTAACCGAGAATTCTGCTGGAGTAAAAGCCGTGTGATTTTAGGTTCTGATCCGCTGACTGAAATCTTGGCCCTAAAGAAGCTGGCGGAAATTTTGCCTTTGAATTCCAGCAGGTTTGCTGCATGTCCAGAAGTTACTGTGCAGTTTCTTCACTGACGTGAGTTTGTGTTGCGTGTTAGTAGTCAAAGTTATGCCGATCTGGCAAGTTGGAAGTGCCCAATCCGCTGCTCCAGGTCTGGAGAGCAGTGGCAAAAGCAAGGTAAGGAAATCAAGCTTGTGGTTAAGTGCATTGCTGTAGCAGAGCCCCAAAGTGCAAAATCCGTACTGTTTTCTTGTTTTAATTCTAGAAAATATTTTCATCACCAGTATCTTAAAGAAGTGTTGCCATTATAAGCTCTGGTTTCTTGCTTTTGGTGGTGAGAAATGTTTTACCAGCACAACACACCAGGAGCATGTGAAATGCTGCATCACTGAATGTATTGTAATGCCTTTTACGTGCTGGGATAAAAAGCTTCATTTGGCAGAAGTGTGTGAGACTCTAACACGCTCGTGTACGCCTGAGTCAGGGGTTAACAGATCCCCCATCAAAGCTTTCATGGGAAATCCCATAATCATTGCTGCCGATTACAGATCAACGGCAGCGTGATATGGCACAAGCTGTAAAGAACGGAACCGTCCCAGCAGGCAGAGGCCGTCGCCTGTGTTCCTAAGAAATGTGTAACCGCTAAGGAGTTAATTTAACCTGGCAGAACCCTTGCTAATGGGGAAAAAAATCCTGTTGGGCTCGTGGTGTTTGGCACAATCTCGGAGAACAAAGGGAGGACAGTGGGTCTGCCGTCAGCCCAGGTGGAGAATTTGGGGTGGAAGGACAGAAACGTGCTCGTACAGAGGACTTTGTCGTCTTTGGGATGGGTACAAGAGATGGCCATCGTTCATCTCAGCACTGCGTGATGGGGTATTCTGGCAGCGGGCTGTTCCCCCGCCCAGCCCCAGTGTGGAAATCCGTCTGTCCAGCGCCTGCCTGCCTGCGCAGTTCTGTTTTCGTTTGAGGGAATGGCGAGAGCTGCAAATTGCCTGAGACATCCTCCATTTCCATCTGACAAACCCTGCCTCGTAGTGTCCTGGACTGGTGACAGATGTGGGGAGGCAACAAAAACGTCTTTTTCTTTATACCGACATTTTCTGAGCTGCCTTCACAAATACGAGCGAAGAAACTTGTTTTTGTGTACTCTCACGCCGCAGCGAACAGTGGTGCGTCAGCGGGCCCTGGGCTGCGCGGGTGCTGGTTTCCTGCTTCTGAGGGGCCCTGCAGGCAGAGGCTGCGCTGCCTGCGCTCGCCCACATCCTTTTAGAGGCCGGACACTGGGAGAAGGGGGAAAGTTGGGGT